ATATTTGTAAAGTTATGGGCTTATGAGGAGTATTTCTCTTATAAATAATTTTATAAATATTCATTTTATTAATTATGTATTTTTTTTTGAAAAGCAAAATATTTATTAATTTTGGAATACTGGGGGTATTCCAACCCGTTAAATACAGAATTCAGCATGTCAGATTACCAAATTCCTTCCGACCACTGAAAAAGAGCAGAACCTCATATTGTCCTAGCAAGTACTAGTTCAAACTCTGTCTTTCTAGTTGAATTTGGGCTTTAAACAATTGCTTGGATTCTCGCACCAAGCTGATATAGAGAACCCATCCATTTCTGCAATGTTCTATGCCCCGTAGAAAGAAGGAATTTGAATTAGCAGAAAGAAGTTATCAACCTTTGCTTCCTTTTTGTTGAAAATCATTCCCTTCCTTCCTTACCAATATTTACATACCTTTTCTTCCTACTGCACCAGTTCTTTAAGCAGGCTAATGGATTCTGGAACCAATCTGATAGTGAGAAGGTGCAGCTTTTCGATCTGCATTTTATCCAACTAAAGGCTCTTAGCTGGACTAGTTCGAGGATTCTGTTCTCATCCACCTCTTTCCTTCTGAAAATCTTTTCATTTCTAGCTAACCAAAGTGTCCATACAACAGCAAACCAAATGCAGCTCCAGCCCTCTTTTTTCCCTGCCATTTTGATTACGGTTGAGTGTTGATGGAATACCTTTAAGCAATCTTTGTCCAGAGCTGATTTTATCCCCCACCATCTGAAGCATGCATTCCAAAGGTTGTGGGCAATGCTATAGTGGATGAAAAGGTGGCTGGCTTCCTCTGTTTGGCTATCGCATAAGTCACATCTGCCATCCTCTATGCCATGAGCTATACCCCTTTTGATTAAATTGATCTTTGTAGGTATTTTATCCTATAGCACTTGCCATGAAAATGCTAAAATTTTGTTTGGCACAATTGTGTTCCAGACTTTGTGGAGAGCCAATTGTTGTTGTTCCGTTTCGTGCTCCCTCATGAGTGCTTGGTAGGCTGACTTTGATGAATAATCTCCATCTTTGCTATGACTCCACTCCCATATATCATCTTTTCCTCTTGTGATTGTAATGTCGTTGATCATTTCCATGAGCTCTGATACTTCTTGTTGTTCCCAGCTATGCAATCCTCTTCTCCATTCCAAATGCCATGTCCATGTTCCATTGACCCACCCTCCCGACTGTGAAACTTTGAAATCTTTTCCTGTAGATAATAAATAAAGCCTAGGGAATCTGTTCGTCAGTTGACCTTCCCCACACCAATCATCCCACCAGAATTTTATGCTACCCCCGTCTCCCACTCTGATTTTGAACGCCTCCACTAACCACCCCTCATGCTTGCACTCAATATTGTTTAATCTACATATGTCCCTCCACCAAGTTGATCCGTAGCCAATATTCTCCCTCTTTCCCATATTTTTCTAATATCACTTTTTTCCATAGCCCATCGTCCTTGTTCACTAATCTGCCCCACCATTTGCCTAGCAGCGCCAAATTAAATTTCCTTAAGTCCTTCACTCCTAATCCCCCTAGTTATTTATCCTTGCATATCGTATCCCATTTGACCCAATTTATTTTCTTACCTCCCTCAATCCCACCCCACAAAAATCTTCTACGAATTTTATCAAGAGAAAGAATTGTACCTTTCAGGATCAAGTACATCAACATCCAAAACACAGGAGACTGGATAGCACTGAATTAATGAGAGTGATCCGACCGCCAAGAGATAAGTACCGACCCTTCCATGTTGTTAATTTCTTGTGGAAGACCTCCACTAGCGGCTTCCAAAAGGAAATCTTTCTACAGCTACCCCCAATAGGGATCCCCAAGTATTTGAAGGGCAGATTCCCTTTTTTGCAGCACATAATCCATGCCATTTTGTCAAGCCACTCTTCCTCTACCCCAATGCCAATGATTAGGCTTTTGTTAAAATTGATCTTTAGCCCCGACACCAGCTCAAATGTTCTCAGAATACCCTTCATGGCCCAGACATTCTCCTCGGTGGCTTCACCAAACAGGAGTGTGTCATCTGCATATTGCAGGTGTGAGACCTTGAATCCTCCATGTCCTACTTCCACTCCTTTTAATAACCCATTTTGTATTGCTTTTGAAGCTAGCCCGTTGATCCCTTCTGCGATGATTAAAAATAAGAAAGGTGACAGTGGATCCCCTTGCCGCAGGCCTCTCGAAACCGTGAATTACCTTGTAGGATTGCCATTGACTAATACCGACACCATGCTGGATTTTAGACACTCCATAATCCATTTCCTCCACTTAGTAGAAAATCCCATCTTTTGCTACATAAAATCCAAGAAGCTCCAGCTAACCTTGTCATAAGCTTTTTCAAAGTCAATCTTGAGCATAAAGGCTTTCTTCTTGAAGATTTGATAATTAAAGAGAGAGAATTAGAAAAAAAGAACTTAAATGCAAAGACTCAAAAAGATGAGGGTTTACAGGTCAAAATTTGAAGTTTGAAAGCTCAAATGAAAATTTCTCCATTTTTGGCAAAGGGACAACAATGTGCTTGAAGTTAAAGGTCGATGTGGTGTTGGAACCTGCTTTCAT